ATATTTTGGTGTAACATTTGGTACATTATAATAATTATAAGATTATACAGTATATAATAATTGTAGGGCTTTTTGCTCAAAATTATAAGATGACCTAGTCAAAATTCTGTTTTGTTTTATTTTATAGATTTGTAAACTGTTGTTTTAAACAACCTAGTATACATTTTGGACGTTTAATTAATATTTAACGCTTAAATTGTACATTTAATATCAAATATGTGGGGATTAAAATATTAATAATTTATATGATAATTAATTTTGTGTCACCTTAATTAATATCACCGAATAAAATAATTCTGTGTATAAAATATATATTAATTATAAACTATAGTTTCATTTAACAAGACTTTCAACTAATTTTGTTAGTTTTTCAATGGATTTTTCGCTTTGAATTCTTTTCGACACTTTTGAACAATTTTGAGCAATAATTTTATCATTCAATACATTTTCAATGGATTCCAATAATTGCTGTTCAGAGCAATCAAAGGGATTTAGTTTTAGCCCAAATCCTTTCTCCACAACTCTCTGTGCGTTATCGTATTGATCGCCCAAAAGAGGCAAAGCTATTATTGGTTTTCCGAAATACATGGTTTCGGTCAAAGAGTTGTTCCCGCCGTGGGTTAAAATTAGATCAATCAGTGGTAACACTTTAATCTGTGGGACAGTCCTATCGCCCCACATATTGTCCGGTAATTCATATTCATTGTGATGAATGCCTTTCGATACAATAAATCTGTGTTTAGATTTGGCCAAAATTGCAACCAATCTCTTCATTAGCTCTACATTTCCGCCACCCATTGAACCCAATGATAGATAAACCAATTTTCCCGATTTATTCTTGAGTTTTTCCGGTAATTCAAAAGTATCCAAATTTCCCGAACGTTTGAAATAATCAAATCTATGGAAAGTGTCGGGCAATGGCCTGATGTCTGTGTAGTCGAGCTCTTTGGGTGTCATATAAATGTTGGCGAACGGAGAGGGACTAAACAACTGGAACTTCTTTAGTGCTGGCATTCCTTTTGCAATGAATCTATCGTTAAGTTTATACCAAAACTTTTCTTTTTCTGCATTCAATAGTTTTCTGTATTTCTCTTTCACTTCTTTCTCACTATTTGTCGGCAAACCTTATAATTGAAATATTATTTATTATATCAAATAATTTAATTAATATTAAAACTCATAATACCTAACATTGATGGGGGAAGTGCTTCATCATCGTAACCCATGTCCATAGAAAGAGGAGCACTACTCCAACTGAATATCCAGGGAATACCTGAAGTGACTATCGATGAAACATTAACCATATGATCGCTAATAATAACGTCTGGCTTTAAATCGGCTATAATTAGCTTTAAGTACGGATCGATCTCTTCTTCTCCTTTTATGAACAAATCATAAAATAACTCAAAACTATTGACCAATTTTTTAAACGGAGATATATTGTCGAGTCCTCCTATTTTGATGGCATCTTTCGCGTTACGTTCGGCCGAATCGGTGACCAACTCTTTGTTGACGTCAATCGGCTTTTCGGCTAATTTAGTCTCAAAGCCCAATGACTCGAGTCTAGCGATCCAATCGTTGGTCACCGCAAACACACACCGGTGTCCGCTGTCTCGCAATACCTCAGCCATACCTATGCTCGACATGACTGGTCCCACGAAAGAGACGGGTGCGAACAACACGGTTAGCTTTCTATTAGACATCATTGAATTTGTAATTTCGAATATTATTTATTCTGCTATAATACAAATTACAATATGTTTATATACGATACATAAAGTGTATGATATAAACTTTTTTGATCAAGTACCTATTAGTAATGTAATAAATCGCTTTATATACTGTATTTATACAATAGTAATTGTACTGAAAATTCTTAAAGTTTTAAGCAAGTGCAATCCGTTAAACCTAGTGCAATGTTTACATTCTTGCATAATTTTACTGTTAACTTTTACTTCGCATTTACAGATTAGATTTAAATCAAGGTCATTATTGATAATTTTATCATATCTTTAATTTTATCTTTAAGTATTTGTATTTTTAATATTAAGTAAATGCATTTTAACATGTTTAAGAAATAGTTCTATTTAATATAAAACAATATAATTACATATAAACATTGAGTTGTCTCGTTGGTTTACATCTAGCTTATTTTATTGCTTATGTTACATAGGTTATGTATTATAACTAACTGCATGTTGTTGTTTCTGTGAATTGTATGATGAATTGCAGTATTTATAGTATAAATTTTATACAGTAGTTAAATTTTCCAGTAGTTAAACAACATTTTATATTTATTAAATGTTATTAAATTATTGAGACGAAATATTTATTTTAAAGTAAAATTTTTATTCGTTTTTTGTCAAAATCACAATACAATAACTTTAGTAAATATGGTATAAATTTAGTATAGTTTATATAAGTTAATAGCATTTTATAAAAATAAAATTAGTTAATTTAAATTTATTGTAAGAAATGTAATTAATTTCTTAAAGTTATATTATTTTAGTTTCCAGTATTTTATTTAACTAAACTTTCGACTAATTTTGTTAGTTTTTCAATAGATTTATCTTTTTGTATTCTCTTCGATGCTTTCTCACAATTTTCAGCAATAGTTTTGTCATTTAATACATTTTCAATGGATTGCAATAATTGTTGTTCAGAGCACTCGTAGGGATTAAGTCTAACCCCAAACCCTTTTTCCGTAACCCTCTGTGCGTTATCGAATTGATCGAAAAATATCGGTAAAACTATCATTGGTTTCCCGAAATACATGGTTTCGGTCACAGTATTGTTCCCGCCGTGGGTTAGCATCAAATCAATGAGTGGTAATACTTCAACCTGTGGGACATTCCTATCGCCCCACATATTGTCAGGCAATTCGTATTCATTATGCTTAACACCTTTGGAAACAATAAACCTGTGCTTAGATTTGGCCAAAATTGCAACCAATCTTTTCATTAGCTCCACATTTCCGCTTCCCATTGAACCCAATGACAGATAAATTAATTTTCCCGATTTATTCTTGAGTTTTTTCGGTATTTCAAATGTGTCCAAATTTCCCGAACGCTTGTAGTAATCAAATCTATGGAAAGTGTCGGGCAATGGCCTGATGTCTGTGTAGTCGAGCTCTTTAGGCGTTATATAAATGTTAGCAAACGGAGAGGGACTCCAATACTGGTACTCTTTGAGTGGCATTCCGTTGGCTATAAATCTATCTTTAAGTTTATACCAAACTTTTTGTTTTTCTTCATTCAATAGTTTTCTGTATTTCTCTTTCACTTCTGTCTCACTATTTGTCGGCAAACCTTAAATTTAAAAAATCATAATTATATTACATTAAAAACCAATTTCATACCCAAAATAGACGGCGGAAGAGCTTTGTGTTCATATCCAAAGTCTAGCGATAGAGGACTACTACTCCAACTGAATATCCAGGGAATACCTGAAGTGACTATCGATGGAAGTGTTACCAAATTATCGTTAATAATAACATTGGGCTTAAGATCAGCTATAATTGATCTCAGATACGGATCATTCAGTCTTTCAGATTCTATGAATTCTTTAACCATATATTCAACAAAACAGACCGCTTTATCAAAGGGTGATATGTTTCCCATCGCACCCGTACTGAACGCTACGTCAACATTACTATCGGCCGAATCCGTGGCACCATTTTTACTATCAATTGGTTTTGTAACCAATTTTGCTTCAAAACCCAATGACTCGATTCTTTCGATCCAATCGTTGGTCACCGCAAACACACACCGGTGTCCGCCGTTGTCTCTCAAAATCTCGGCCATTCCTATGCTCGACATTATTGGCCCAAAAAAGCATTGCGGGGCGAAAAGCACTGTTAACTTTCTATTAGTCATGTTTACTGTATATTTTATAAATTTCAATTACTTTTGATTTGGATTTGCATTCAAACTTTTATTTCCTTATATACTTATGTGTTATGCAATAGTTGAGTATTAAATCTCTTCATATCTAAGATATGATACATACATGTACAGTACTGTATGTTATGTTATGTACTTATACAGTTTATTTTTACAAGTCTATTGTTAACTAAAATCTTAAGTGTATCGTGTTATATTGAAGTCCAATATATAGAATCAAGTGCAATATTACACTTTTACCAACCAGTTTATATTTTATATTTGTTTTGTTACTTTATAATTTACTGTTGTTCACAAATTCTAATAAATTTAAATACTTTGCTCATAATTTCAAAAATCAAAAAACTTATTTTTGACTGAACTGTTAATATTGTATATAAATTATATATAATATAATTGTGTATTGTTATATTTTAATACTTTCTATATTTATGAATTTTAATTACATCTCAATTTAATTTTTACAATAATTGTCATCATTTAATTTTTAAAAAGTTTAATATTTATTACAAAGTTTGTTTGGATTTTATAAGATTAGTTAATTACTAAATCTAAATTTTAGATTCTAAAATAAATTTATTTAACAAGATTTTCAACAACTTTTGTAAGTTTTTCAATTGACTTTTCGCTTTGTATTCTCTTCGATGCTTTCTCACAATTTTGAGCAATAGTTTTGTCATTCAATACATTTTCAATGGATTGCAATAATTGCTGTTCAGAGCACTTGTAAGGATCGAGTCTAACTCCAAACCCCTTTTCCATAACTCTCTGTGCGTTATTGTATTGATCGAAAAATAGGGGCAAAACTATCATTGGTTTTCCGAAATACATGGTTTCGGTCACAGTATTGTTCCCGCCGTGGGTTAGCATCAGATCAATGATTGGTAACACTTTAATTTGTGGGACAGTCCTATCGCCCCACATATTGTCCGCCAATTCATATTCATTATGATTAACACCTTTGGATACAATAAACCTGTGCTTAGATTTGGCCAGAATTTCAACTAATCTCTTCATGAGAGGCACATTTCCGCTTCCCATTGAACCCAATGATAGATATATTAATTTTCCCGATTTATTCTTGAGTTTTTCCGGTAATTAAAAAGTATCCAAATTTCCCGAACGCTTGAAATTATCAAATCCATGATAATTGTCGGGCAATGGCCTGATGTCTGTGTAGTCGAGCTCTTTGGGTGTCATATAAATGTTGGCGAACGGAGAGGGAGTAAACAACTGAAACTCTTTTAGTGCCGGCAATCCATTAGCAATGATTCTTTCATTGTGTTTAAACCAAAACTTTTGTTTTTCTTCATTCAATAGTTTTCTGTATTTTTCTTTCACTTCTATCTCACTATTTGTCGGCAAACCTTATAAATAAAAATTGTGTTTAAAATCAGATTAATTTTTTACAAACAAAACCCGTACCCAAAAGCGATGGTTGAAGTGTGTTATCTTCATAACCAAAGTCCAGTAATAGCGGACATCCACTCCAACTCAATATCCAGGGAATACCTGAATTTACTATCGATGGAAGTGTTACCAAACGATCGGTAATAATAACACTGGGCTTTAGAGCGGTTATAATTTTTTTCATATATGGATCAGACTTTAGTTCCGATGGAATAAACTCTTCGCACAAATACTTTATAATACCGACCGCTTTGTCAAACGCCGATATGTTTCCCATCGCACCCGTACTCAACAATACGCTAACATTACTATCGGCCGAATCGGTGACAGACTTTTTATTGTCGACGTCCACAGAGTTTTCAATTAATATCGTTTCAAAACCCAATGACTCGAGTCTATCGACCCAATTGTTAGTCACCGCAAACACACACCGGTGTCCGCCGCTGTCCCGCAACACTTCAGCCATACCTATGCCTGACATTATTGGACCAAAAAAATTCTCGGGTGCAAAAAGCACTGTTAGATTTTTAATAGACATCTTGGAATTTTAAAACTTTAAATATTATACTTTTGATTTTAGAATTTTTAATATTTATATATAAGTTAAGATTTATATAGTATTTTTTAATACCATATAATTTGCACTTCATGGTAGGAAAAGTTCCTATTTTATTGATTAAGTGCATTTTATGTTACAAGGTGCATTGTCACTTGTTTACATAATTACATAAATATAAAATTAATTTTTGATAAATTTTATAAATATAAAACTGACATTATCATTTTATACTTTGATTAAGGCTATGATGTCCAATCATATGATAAAGTGAATTTAAACTTAATTTGCATTTTGAACAATATTTTATCATAATCTTAATATATCTCTTACCTTCCTCTACAGTCTACTCACTGGACTATATTGTAATAATGCTAATCAGTATTTTTAATTCTATACATTATAATCTATAATACTATTCTTGATACATATAATAATACATTATAAAATATTATTATTATATACACACATGTGCTAAATATTATTGATAATATAATAAGGTGTCTATGTATATAATATTTAGCACAAATATTTCATAAATGTTATACATTATGTAAAACAAAATTTGATTTAATCATTTAAAGATATTTTTTATTGATAAACTTTATGTATTTTTAAACAACAAATAAACATTGTTTGATATTAGAAAAATTAAATTTAATTATTTAGCAAGATTTTCAACCAATTTAACAAGTTTTTCAATAGACTTTTCGCTTTGAATTCGTTTCGATGCTTTCTCGCAATTCTCAGTAATAGTTTTGTCATTCAATACATTTTCAATGGATTCCAGTAATTGTTGTTCAGAGCACTCGTAGGGATCGAGTCTAAAACCAAATCCTTTTTCTTGCACTCTCTGTGCGTTATCGTATTGATCGCAAACAATGGGTAAAACAATCATTGGTTTCCCGAAATACATGGTTTCGGTCACAGTATTGTTCCCGCCGTGGGTTATGACCAGATCACAGATTGGCAACACTTTGATTTGAGAGACAGTCCTATCGCCCCACATATTGCCCGGTAAATCGTATTCATTATGATGTATACCTTTAGATACAATAAATCTATGGTTAGATTTGGCTAAAATTGCAACCAATCTTTTCATAAGTTCTACATTTCCGCCACCCATTGAACCCAATGATAAATAAATCAATTTTCCCGATTTATCCTTGAGTTTTTCCGGTATTTCAAAAGTATCCAAATTTCCCGAACGCTTGTAGTAATCAAACCGATGGAAAGTGTCGGGCAATGGCCTGATGTCTGTGTAGTCGAGCTCTTTAGGCGTCAAATATAAGTTTGCAAACGGAGAGGGAGTGAAGATCTGAAACTCTTTTAGTGCTGACATTCCGTTTGCTTTTGATCTTTGGTTTATTTTAAACGAAATCTTTTGTTTTTCTGCATTTAATAGAGTTCTGTATTTCTCTTTCACTTCTGTCTCACTATTTGTCGGCAAACCTTATAAATGAAATATCAAATAATATACATAATTGTAATTATATTGAAAGCATAGCTCTTACCTAAGAAAGAGGGCGGAAGAGCATTGTTTTCATAGCCATAATCGAGAGATAGGGGACTATTACTCCAACTGAATATCCAGGGAATACCAGAGTTGACTATCGATGATAGATTCACGATATGATCGCTTATAATAACATCTGGCTTTAAATCGGCTATAATTAGCTTTAAATACGGATCCGTCTCTTCTTCGCCTTTTATAAACACATTAAACACGAACTCAAAACTATTGACCACTTTTTGAAACGGAGATATATTGTCGAGTCCTCCCATTTTCAACAAATCGTTTGCATTACTATTTGCCGAATCGGTGACACATTTTTCAGTAGTGCTCACGTTTACGGGCTTTTCAGCTAATTTAGTCTCAAACCCCATTGACTCGAGTCTATCGATCCAATCGTTGGTCACCGCAAACACACACCGGTGTCCGCCGCTGTCCCGCAACACTTCGGCCATACCTATGCTTGACATCATAGGCCCCACAAAAGAGAGCGGTGCGAACAACACTGTTAACTGTTTGTTTGTCATAATTAGTGTTAAAACAATTTTAAATAAACAATTTTATTTCTTATACAGTAAATATAAATTATAAAATTAATAAATGGATTGCTATAGTATATATACGTATATGATAATTTTTTTAATGCATTTAATGTGTGTACCCAACGTTCGCGCCCAATCGAGTACATTATGTTTTATAAAGTGCAGTATATTATACCAAGTGCAAATCGTGTATTGATTATATTAATTATCATCATTCATTAAAATTATTAGATTGATTAACATTTTTAAAATTAATTTATATTAAAGTTGATTTAACTAAATTTTTATTTAAATAAAAAAATTACTCATCAATCATGAGTCATGATCGTCAGGATATTTTAATACATGCTAAAAGTTATATGCTGCCAATTACTTTTTTGGTTTTCAAACATAGGATATACAAACTGCATTCAGTATGTGTGTACTATTTAGTGTTTATTGATTAAACATTTAATTTGATAATAATTTATAGATAATAATTAAAACTATTACCGATTAAATATACTTAAGTAACGGATACTTTATTTTGAATAAAACAGGTATTTATCATGTAAATTAGTATTTAAAATTCACTTACAATTTAGCTTAATTAATATAATATTTTTAAGTAATTTAACAAATTATTTAACAAGACTTTCGACTAATTTTGTAAGTTTTTCGATAGACTTTTCGCTTTGCATTCGTTTTGATGCGTTTTCACAATTTTGAGCAATAGTTTTGTCATTCAATACATTTTCAATGGATTGCAATAATTGTTGTTCAGAGCACTCGTAGGGATCGAGTCTAACACCAAACCCTTTCTCAGTAACTCTCTGTGCGTTATCGTATTGATCGAAAAATAAGGGCAAAACTATCATTGGTTTCCCGAAATACATGGTTTCGGTCACAGTATTGTTCCCGCCGTGGGTTAGCATCAAATCAATGAGTGGTAATACTTTAATCTGAGGGACACTTTTCTCGCCCCACATATTGTCCGCCAATTCGTATTTATTGTGTTTCACACCTTTGGAGACAATAAACCTGTGCTTAGATTTGGCTAAAATTGCAACCAATTTCTTCATAAGTTCCACATTTCCGCTTCCCATTGAACCCAATGATAGATATATCAATTTTCCCGATTTATTTCTCAACTTTTCAGGTAATTCAAAAGCATCAAGATCATCTAAATTTCCTGAACGCTTGTAACAATCAAATCCATGGAAAGTGTCGGGCAATGGCCTGATGTCTGTGTAGTCGAGCTCTTTGGATGTCATATATATGTTGGCAAAGGGAGAGGTAGTCCACAACTGGAACTCTTGGAGAACTGGACATCCGTTGGCAATCACTCTATCCCTGTGTTTATACCAAAGTTTGGCTTTCGCTTCGTTTACTAATTTTCTGTATTTCTCTTTCACTTCTTTCTCACTATTTGTTGGCAAACCTTATAATAAATAAAAATCACATTCAATTATATTTATTGTATGTTATTTTAACTAATATTTATTATATTTTATTGTTGTAATATAGTAAAAAAAACATTTATTTTATTAATAATTGATCCTTAAGTTCATACCTAAAGCAGATGGTGGTAAACGTTCATCATTTATGCCAAAGTCCAGAGATAGAGGACTATTACTCCAACTGAATATCCAGGGAACACCTGATGTAACTATCGATGGAAGTGTTATTAAATTGTCGGAAATAATAATATCTGGTTTCGTGTCAGCGATTATGGTCTTCACGTATGGATCCATCTCTTTCTCAGCCATAATAAAGCAATTGTAAAAAAATTCAATATTTGCCACCAATTTTTCCATTGGAGTTAACTGTGAAAGTGTCCCGTTTTTAATCAACTCTTCCACATTATTCTCTTGCATTCCCTTTCCGTCCACTTTTTCGCCGACAACTTTCACTTCAAATCCGATCGCTTCGAGCCGTGACTTCCAGTCGTCGGTCACCGCAAACACACACCGGTGTCCGCCGCTGTCCCGCAACACTTCGGCCATACCTATGCTCGACATCATAGCCCCCACGTAATAGCCCGGAGCGAACAGAACTGTTAACTTTCTTTTACCCATTGTATCAACAACTTTGACGATTGGTTTTACGCAACTGAGAGTTTATATAACTGTTATAATACTTATATTTTAATTATAAGTGTTTTAGTGCGGACTTTATTCGGTTTTATAAGCAGATAAAAGTGCAATATTTAGTGTACTTAACGCTATATAAAACTAATTGAGTTAAATATCTTATCATATAATACTTATAATAAAGATAATGGCAACAAATAGATGTATCAATGGTTTTAAAATTATGTTCACTAACGTTGTTTAGATTAAATTAGTGTAAAATATGCACTAACGAGGTTATATGGTGTAAAACTAACCAATTAAATACTTAATTTAATTAAATATTAATAGATGCAATTTAATAGATTTTTTTTATTTCCTTAATTGTATTCCTAAATGCAAGTAATTATTTGCATTTACATTAAGAATGTGATGAATGTGTAGACAATCGTGTATTTATTGAATAAAAAATAATGCGAAATACTAACTAAAACTTTTAATATTAAATATTAATTTTTTAAAATCCAATAAACATCAATATTTTTTATTAGTAATATTTTTATGAGTTTCTTGAAATTACAAATATTCTATATTTTAATAATAATTTTAATCATTTGACAAGACTTTCAACCAATTTAACAAGTTTTTCGATAGATTTTTCGCTTTGCATTCGTTTCGATGTTTTCTCACAATTTTCAGCAATAATTTTGTCATTCAATACATTTTCAATGGATTCCAATAATTGTTGTTCAGAGCACTCGTAGGGATTGATTCTTAGGCCAAATCCTTTTTCCATAACTCTCTGTGCGTTATCGTATTGATCGGCAAATAAAGGCATTACAATCATTGGTTTCCCGAAATACATGGTTTCGGTCACAGTATTGTTCCCGCCGTGGGTTAGCATCAAATCAATTAGAGGTAACACTTTAATTTGTGGGACAGTCCTATCGCCCCACATATTGTCAGGCAATTCATATTTGTTATGATTTACACCTTTGGAAACAATAAACCTGTGCTTAGATTTGGCCAAAATTGCAACCAATCTTTTCATTAGCTCCACATTTCCGCTTCCCATTGAACCCAATGATAGGTAAATTAATTTTCCCGATTTATTCTTGAGTTTTTCCGGTAATTCAAAAGTATCCAAATTTCCCGAACGTTTAAAATAATCAAATCTATGGAAAGTGTCGGGCAATGGCCTGATGTCTGTGTAGTCGAGCTCTTTGGGTGTCATATATAAGTTGGCGAACGGAGAGGGAGTAAACAACTGGAACTCCTTTAATGCCGGCAATCCATTAGCAATAATTCTCTCGTTATGTTTTGACC